TTAGATGTTTCAAAACAGGCACAAGAGACAATTTACAAATTATTTATCAATATGTAGTTAATCAAAGCTTTGTTTCTTTTGAAAAATTCATTCTCTTGAAATGTCGTATGCAATTTGGGTACAAGAAACTGAATATACATGTGTATTTATAGAGTTGAAGAAAAAGAGAGAGAGATTTAAAGTTATTTAAGTTAAATTCTATTTGTATCTATAGGTTTGCCAAATATATTCCATCTGTGGATAGCGTGAAGAAGTTTTTCAAGGTGGATGCAGTATCAAGAGTGTCAACAACATCACAAGATCAAAAGGATGATAGTAATCATGATGATTCTTCTGAAGAAACAGAGGATAGTCAGAAGGATTTGAAAGAGAAAAAGAAACAAAAGAAAGAAAGGCCTGGGTTTAGGGAAAGAAAAGCAAGTACATAATTACCTTTTCAAAACACAAGAATATAATGCTATTTCACTTGTGTCTATGATATATAGCATGAAAATAGAATTACAGATTCATTGAGATAAGATGATTTTTTTTTACAATATTTTATGTTAATATTTTTGAAGATAGTAATAATGTGAATGTCATGAGAGGCACTTTTTTATATGCAAATTTCATGAAAAACAACTCCCAAATATATTATTATTATATTTGACTGCATCTGTTTTCCTGTATGGTAAAAACAAGATTCTTCAAAATTTAAACAACCAAGCTAGATGTATGGGTTTATAAAACTGTTTTGTTCCTACTCATTTAGTATGATGAGAAATCTGTAGTATAGTTTTTGCTTTGTAATTTTCCTGAAATAACTCTCCCTTTCAAAGATATATGGAGTAAATTTAACTCTAAATGATGGATCACAAGACACTTTTTTTGTCTGCATGATCTGTATTGTAGGTCAAACTGTTTTATTAATTAGTTAATAAATAATTAGCTTTGATAAAAAAAATAAATTCAAATGTAAATAAGCTTACCTGATATTTGAAATAGTATTGATACTGAAAGCACATTAAAGTAGATTAAGTTTGAAGCTAGGAGACTAACTTAATGACCATTTAGCACTTAACACCAACATTATTGGGAAGAGTCCTCCCTTTGGGAAGTCAGCTTCAAAACATACATAAAGAATCTGAAAGAATTAAAAAACTAAACACCTTTGGTTTATAATGAATTTTATTTATAAGAGTTTTAAGTGATGCTTCAGTAATGACTTTAGGTCTTATGCTTTACTAATTTGTTTCCAATGTTATAAAGTGATTATATCCACATAGGCTTTTATATATATAAGACATAACATGAAAAATAAGTTGTACCTTTCATTTCTGTTCTTGACCACAGAATGATGAATTGCAGGATGATATTGTTTCATAGAATTTGCAGCATGGTCACTAATATTTATGGTTTCTTTTTTAAGCTATACACTTTCCCATGGAGAAGATATTTTTTAGGTTTTAATTATCAAGTTTTTATTGATAATACAATGATATTTATCATTGGTCTTCACTGTAAGCATTTTGGTGTTTTTTTCAAAATGTATACTATTAACTTGAAGTTACTAAATTTCAGTCACATGTCCTCTCTAGTACATAATTTCTGAGCTTTTTCAGCAATGCTGATACTCAGGAATGCCAGCTTTTAAATTTGATTACTCATGGAGGTCTGTCTGGAATACTTCTTGTTTTAAGAGAGAAGGTTATTTCTATCATTGGTTTCTGCTTTTTCTGTTTTAGGAAATATTTTCTAAGAAGCAGCATTATTTATAATCTAGTTTACCTGCTTGCAGTTTCATGCCTCTTTCAATGGATTCTTGTCTAGATTTGAACATTTGGTTTGGGACTTGCAGCATGAGAAGGTTTTTGAGTATTATGTTAATCATATGCTAAGGTAGAAAACTTGAAATATGTAAAGATATTAAAACACTTTCTTAGAAGCTCTTAATGTAATTTTAAAACGTCTTGTAGTTCAATCCATGCCAATCTGAATCATGAGCCCAAAGGGGGGGGGTACTCTTGGTAAATGTTTCATAAACGAGTTTTGCAAATGAAACTTGTTAGTGGAGGTTAATGAAGACATACTTTTATAGTTTTGCTCTTCTCATCAGGTGTTTTAAATGACAACTTTAGTAGACTTATTATGTTTAAAAAGTGCCAAAAAAAAACAACTAAAAATATATAGCATAAGGAAAATTGATTACTTCTACCTTTTAACTCTTTCAGCACATGCTTGGTCCCTAGGACCAACCTCGTAACCATTTTGTGCTTGTTAGAGTTTTTATGCTAGAACTTTGAAATTAGTAAGCGATTGTTAACAAAATTTCCCAGGATATCAGTAAACATAATAATGCTTTCTTATGCAAAATATCAATTTTTTATTAAGTTTTAAGGTTTGTAAAGCAATGTTTTCTCATGTTTTTTTTCTTTTCACATGTTGCCTATCTATCATGCAAAGTAATAT